TGAGAAGGTGGGGAGTCCTCCGAGGTGGTAGAGAAGCCGGCTGAATGAAGGTTTAGGTCCTCGAGGTTAATGGAGCTGACAGGGTGCGCACTCCATTAGTGGAACACCCTGTACAGCTCCCGACCCGTATTTATTGGCCAGTACACCCGAGAACACTGGGCCGGTAACTTTGCGATTCAGTTTTTTCGCCCACAAACATGAACGTAGCAATTGACCGAGGGCATACCACTGTTAACTGTGCTCAATGTCTAGTATCTATGGGTTGTGTTCCTCGAGATAAGTTTTTCTTGCATTAGGGCAGTTATTTTAGATACGCCTGTAGGATGAGTGATTTACATGACTACCTTTCGCATTAACTTGTTTGTGCTGGTCCTCCCCGGGGGTCTCCCCGGGCCTGTGCAGGGGGAGCCTGCAGGGATCCCCGGGAGGGGAGCCCCTGTGGGGACCTAGTGCCTAGTATCCTCAGGTCATATTCCTATGCCATGTTATCTGCCTATTTCCGAATGAAATGAAGCCCCTGGCCGCAGGTGCAGTGGCTCCCTCCGCCATCTCTCTGCCACCTGCACCGCTACAGAGGCAGCTCTCTAATCGCGCAGCCGCTCGCCCCTCAAGGGGGATTTAGGCAGGCCCCCAGCCTCGGTATGCGATCCGGGCTGGCTGGATCAGGCAGACGCAGCCCTCTAATCAGGCATTTTAGAGGGCCGTCCGCTGGGGCCGGTCGAGGACCCCCTTGAGGAGCGAGCATTTAGAGAGCCGCATCTGTAGCGGTGCAGGTGGCAGAGAGACGGCGGAGGGAGGGGGCCACTGCACCTGCGGCCAGGGGCTTCATTTAGGGAGGGGTGGGTTTTGGTGACGGGCCCTCCGGCATCTGCTGCCGGGAAACTGGCTGGCGCAGCCACAGGAGAGCCCCCACTACTAACCAGGGCCCAGGGAGCCCACACTGACCACCAGGGTAAGGTGACAAACTTTTTAAGGGCTCATTCACCCTGGAATCGGTTGGCACGTACAGCTCAGTGCACGGCCTTATCGGGCAGCTCCCGGGAATTAGTGTGATTAATACGCAGCCCCTGTTCTTCTCTATAGAACTATGCGGCCGTAAGCCGCCCTACGCTCACCGGTCCTGCACATCGGTGCGGGTGAGCGTACTAGTATGCTCGTACGGACGTGCAAGGCGGGTGAGCGTACGGCCGCATACTCCCATAGAGAAGGACAGGGGCTGTGTACTATCACACGCAGCACCTGTCCTTCCCGGGAACTGCCCGATACGGCTGTGCACGCAGCACGGAGCTGTACGTGCCGGCTGATTCCAGTGTGAATGAGCCCTACATGTCCCCGGGAAAATAAAAAACTTTTTTTTAATACTCACCTGATCCCTGGATCCACCGACAAGCGCAGCCTTCTGTCTCCCACGCTGTCAAAAGCTGAATATTACAGGAAGGCTGCCGAGGTCCCCAGCAAGCACGGGACCTCAGGCAGCCGCTTGTTTAAAATTTTAGTGCCAGTGTTCTGTGGAGAACGCCGACCCAGTACCTGCGTTTACGTACAGACGGGATAACCGACATTTATTTACAAAGTATTCGTTTGTAATGGTTAATTGTGACTTAATATGCCGTCCGTGGCAGTACACGATGGACAGAATATTACTAACAGTGACAATTAACGATTTAACCCTTTCACTGCCAAGGACGTACGGCATACGGAGGTACAAAAGTGCTTCTGGCTGGCCAGCTCAGTATGCCGTACGGACCTGGCATTTACAGTTCTACTATAAGCTCATAGTCGCTTTAGCAACCATTAGCTTATAGTAGAACTGTTCCCCAGGAAAGTCCCCTTCAAATTAATAGCTGTCATCAGCGGCTCACAAGCCCGCAATTCAATATGGCCGAGCGGCATAGTGACCGGAGCCGCTGTCATCCTGTCAGTTTTTGGATGACAGTGGCTCTGTAGCATGGCCGAGCGGGGGATCGTTAAATAACATTGATATTTAACGATCCCTCAGTTTACAGCAAACACCGGAGTGATCGTCTGATCACTCCGGTGTTTGTAAATAACTGGGGACACATAGTCCCCAGCTCATTCACGAATTTATTATATCATTACGATACTGTTCATTCACGATATTTTTACTATCATTAGTTTGTGAATGAATGAGAAGCCTCTGTACCGAGTGCTTCCCATTCATTGTGTGCTGGGGCTGCAGAAAAAGAAATTGAGGACTATTGAGGACATAAGTCTTCAATTTCTATTCAATTTCTATTTCTATTTCAAAAGGGAAATGTCCCCAGATATTTCACTGCAGCACCCCC